GGAAGTTAGTGTGGATAACCCCCCCTGGGAGAGAACATTTCCTTGAAATGGCTCAAACCCCTCCTCCGTTAGCAAAACCACCTCCTGACAGAGCCTCACCTGCACTTGTGTTCTCCCAGCCAGCAGCCCAGCAGTGCTGCCAGGTATGGATGTCACACATGAAGGGCAGGCAGATGGGAATTTTCTCCTTGCTGAACTCGATGGGAGAGCTGAGCAGGATCAGGGCTATGTCATTTGCCATGCTCGTGGTGTTGAAGTTCTCGTGGAGGATCAAGCTGTCCGGTTTGTGTTCTTCCAGCGGGACACTGAGGTTGATTCCCCCCACTACAACCGTGAGATCTGGTGGCCTTATAAACAAAATAGCAGTGGAGACATAGTAAACATGAAGGATTTGGGTCCTAAAGGTTGGTGTCTCTTCCCCCTGAGCAGGGTAGAGGGATGGTCAGCAAATGGCACAGGTAGTTCACCCATAAATGCCGTGGAAATCTACCCTCACTTCCAGGCAAAGATGATTTCCAGAGGTAGAATGTGAGTGCAACCAGGATATAAATAACCCAGTCACCAACAAACAGATGGAATGGGCTGGATCTTTTGGATCACTGTGCCCTGGGCTGGCTGTTCTGGCCACACTGCCCCCAGCCAGCTGCTCCAGGCTGTGGTGCCACAGGTCCTTTGTCACTGAGCAGTGGCAGCTCTTGGACCTGCCAAATTTTGGAGGAGGCTCACAGAGAGCTGGACTCCACCCCTGGGCATTGCATGGGATGAATTTATCCAGAAATTGATGGTTTAAAATCAGAGTCTCCATGAGGTAAAGGTGTTTTCTATGAGAAAGCAAAGATAATTTGGGGATTAGAATAAGATGGAATGGAATATGTCACTTTTTACAAGGTGCCACAGCATTTGTAGGTGGACAGGAAATGCTTGGGGCCCCCAGAACATCATCATGGGTATGATGACACAAGGCTGCTCAGGCCATTCCTGAAAGTATTCCCTTTCTGCTCCTCGTGGATTCTTCACATTTCTGTGTTCAAAAATGGGCCTGTTTTCCCCAAAGGAGAAAATTCCCATTTTAAGGGCTCAGTCACATATACATTGTGTTTGACCCCAAGAACATCCATATCCTACTCCCACAAGGAGGAGTGTTACCACCCCACTGTGCCTGGGCTGTCCTCCCTTCCCTGGAGTACTCACAGCTCTTTGGCAAAGCAATGGGCAGCAGTTAAAATCCACAGTGCACTGATAATGGTGCCTCCACAGATGTGCTTCCTGTGGCTCTGGATGCTCACGTGCCACGGGAACTCTCCCAGCTGCACAGATCTCCCTGTCCCGATCCTCTTGCCAGTCTCCAGGAAGGACTCAAAGGATGGTCGGAGGCCACACTCTGGGGACAAAATGAGACATGTGGGACATCTCCAAGAGTGCCACTGCCTGTGCAGCTCAGCTGGAGGGGCAGGACAGCATGCAGAGCACTCGTCTACAATATGTATGAAATCATGGAATGGTTTGGGTTGGAAGGGACCTTAAAAACCATCTCGTTCCACCCCCTGTCATATCCCTGCAGGGACACCTTCCACTATCCCAGGTTACTCCAAGCCCTGTCCAACTTGGCCTCGGACATTTTCAGAGATGGGGCAGCCACAGCTTCTCTGGGCAACCTGTGCCAGGACCTCACCACCCCCACAGCCAGGAATTCCTTCCCAATATCCTATCTAATCTTTCCCTCTGGCAATAAGAAGCCATTCCCCCTGGTCCTGTCCCTCCAGGCCCTTGTCCCAAGTCCCTCTCCAGCTCTCCTGGAGCCCCTTTAGGCACTGCAAGGGGCTCCAAGGTCTCCCTGGATCCTTCTCTTCTCCAGGTGAACCCCCCCAGCTCTCCCAGCCTGGCTCCAGAGCAGAGGGGCTCCAGCCCTCGGAGCATCTCCGTGGCCTCCTCTGGACTCGCTCCAGCAGCTCCACATCCTTCTGCTGTTGGACCCCAGATCTGGATGCAGCTCTGCAGGTGGGGTCTCACAAGGGTGGAGGCTGAGAATCCCCTCCCTTGACCTGCTCCATGATCTGTACACCTGATCCTGATGTCCCTGTCCCCTCCCCAAACCCGCACTCTGCCAAGCACTGCCCCAGCAGTTTGGGGGTGGGCAGGACCCCCCCATAAGCAGTCTGGATAAAATCCTTGCTTAGGGAGTGGAAGGTTTAGCATCAGGCTGAACAAGGCCACGAGGTCCAAGGAGCAACCCCAGGCCTGTTTCACTCACCCACGTGTGAATATCCTGCACGGCCACCGGCAGCAGCGGCGCTGCCGATCAGAGAAGTTAAACAGGAGATGACAAGAAGCAGCATTTCAATCCATCTTGGAACAACACTGTTCCCCAAGATTCAGAGCACTGATGCCTCTGCAGACACCTCAGAAGCATCTGCATTCCATGTCAACCCAGCTCCCTGCCAGGGTGTGACATCACAGCATCCCCTGTTCCAGTTGACGGGGCGATTGGATGCCATCCTTCCTAAGGCCAAAAGGCATCAATGTTCCCTGAGGGAAAGCTCAGTGATTTCCAGGTTTGTGATTTCCTTTAGCTCTAGAAGGGACAGGGCAGCTGGAATTTCTTCCCAATATCCCATCTAACCCTGCCCTCCAGCAGTGGGAAACCATTCCCCCTTGTCCTGTCTCTCCCAGATCTTGTCCAAAGTCCTGCTCCAGCTCTCTTGGAGCCCCTTTAGGCACTGGAAGGGGCTCTCAGGTCTCCCTGGAGCCTGAAGGCAGTTCCTGACTGTATCCTGGACTGACCTCACAGGGTGTGGCAATAGTGGATTGGGTGAGCTGGGTGCTGTAGCCTTTTCTGGATCTTGAGCCATCTTTGAAGACCCTGGATGCTGGTCCTGCATCAGCTTCCACCTTCAACTATGAGAAATGCTGAAGTCTTAATTAACTTTATCTCCACTTAGACTGTGCCTGGGGCACTTACTTGTATGTACTTAAACAGGACCATGTTGCCCCACCGCTGGAAGTGTTCAAGGCCAGGTTGGACGGGGTTTGAAGCAACCTGGGAGAGTGGAAGGTGTCCCTGCCCATGGTACAGGGTGGAACTTGGTGATTTTTAAGGTCCCTTCCAACCCAAACCATTCTGTGTTTGCAGAAGAAAGGGGAAGCTCTGTCACAGGGCAAATTTCAAATGGTGCCAAGTTGAAAGTTTCATATCAGAGATGTTGAGGCAGCCACTCCCTTCTTCCCTGTGGGCAAGGATGGTTCACAGGGCTAAATCCAGCTTAAAAAATTAATCCATGAGGCTGAATTAGCATCTCACCTTTACTGATCACATCCCTCACAGTCCTTGTCTCTTCAGCAGCAGCTGTAAGGGGTCCAGGCCAAAACTCCACCCCACAGTAACTCCAGAAATAAATTTGTGGTGGCAAAATGTTTTGGTGTGGGCCAATTTTAGCATCAGTGCACCCATCTATGCTGATTTCTACACCAACACATCATTTCCATCAGGACAAGACTTAAAAAAACCCTCAGCCAGATTCAGACTTGAGCATATCTGTATTAAGGACAGAATGTTACTTTTCCCAAAGACTTTCCAGCTTGTTTCAAAACAATAACATGGAGTAGGAAGGGAGGGAGGGGAATTTTATAAAGCCCCCAAATGATTCAGAAATGTTTTGCCTCGGAGCAAATCCGGAGTTATCCCACTGAAATCTCAATTAACAATGCACAGGATGAAAGTAATACTTTATTTTCCTCTCCTCTTTGCTTCTCTGTCACCTCGTGCCAAGGAAATTAGACAGAAGTGTTGGTTACCTTGGCAGTGAGCACTGGAACAACTACATGGCATGACACATTAAGGACGGGATCAGTGACCACAGCAACTCGAAATCCCCAGTGGGACGTGGGCACATTTTGGGGCATCTCCAGAAGAGCCTAACATGCCAGAGATACCTCCTGTGAGCTTTCCCCAGGACTAAAAGGACTGTTTTCCTCTGGATTTTGAGACTGGAACGAACTCAACATCAGCTGAGGAGCAAGGGAAGATGGGGAGTTAATTTTTCCGGCACATATTTACTGTCCATCTTTGGATAAAGCAGGAAGGGCTTCAGCAATGGATTTACAAGCCCAAACTGACTCTCTGGTTCCCATTTTCAGTCCCTCCAAGTTTGGAGCTCCATCTGGTCTGCTGGGTAGGTACAGGAGATGTTCAGGAGCTGGTTTGGGCCTTTCTGAGCCTAAAATATGAGTTGGAAACATCAGACCAAGATGTGGAGAGGAGTGCCCTGGAGAGCTCAGCAGGAGGAAATGCTGTGGATTTGTGCCTCTGGGTCCCAACTGTCTGGCCCTCAAAAATGAGCTTTAGAGCCCAGAATGGATGGATCAAGGTGGGCTGCTACAAGCTTTACCTAAGAAAGCACACCTGCAAGAGGACAAACCATGGGCACATGTTCTTCAAACTCAGTGATCACGACAGCCTCCAAAATAAGGAACACATGAGAGGCTCAAACTCACACTTCCCACTGGGAAGTATTACAAGCAGCAATTTGGACGGGACAAACCAATTCCCAACCCTCCTAAAGAAGCTGTTTGTCCTAGGACATTCCACAGCATGGAATGATAGAATAGCCCGAGTTGGAACAGACCCCCAAGGATCATCAAGTCCAACTCCTGCACAGGACAGGCCCGACAATCCCCATTGTGTGCCTGAGAGTTGTCCAAGCGCTCCTTGAACTCTGAACCCACAGGATCTCATATCCATTTTCTCCCCAGTATCCCATCTAACCCTGCCCTCTGGCAGTGGGAAGCCATTCCCCCTTGTCCTGTCCCTCCATGCTCTAGTTAATATGCACAATAATACATATTTCAAAGTCCTGGTGTTTAATTAACAAACGCCAGCCTTTTATAATACTTGATTTTTTTTTTTTTAAATCTACCCACTTGGAACACACCACAGACAACATTTTTCTTTTCTTTTTCTGTAATTTATTGCAGTGCAGGAAACAAAACTGATTTCTTTTTGGTTTGGAACTGTCAAGAAGCAGCAACACATTACAATTTGTACTTTCTCTTACTAAAATTATTTCAGAAAACAGGCACTAGAGGTGATCCTAGAAAGCAGAGTTGTGGGACAATTACTTATCAGCTCATCATTCCCAAAGACACCAAATTACAGGGTGGTGATAAAGAGCCCAACCATGTCTCCAGAAGTCAAAGCTCTCAAAACACCCACAAATTCCTCAATCCAAGGAAATCAACATTTCTGAAGGCATGAGTTGTGCCAAAGCAGTTATGGATGCAACCACCTCCTAATTCCTCCTTTTAACAGCACTTGGAGCCAAACTTGGAGAAGTTTGAATCTCTTTCCACCTCTCCATATCCCAAGGAAACCCTGTGAACTCCCTAGAGCAAGAAGCAATTTCTGCCTCTAATTTGGTTTTTAATGTCGATGAATGAGAAGCTGCTCCAATTACGGAAAACCTCCCCAACAGATTCCCAAATCTTTATGCACTGATGGTGTGGATGCACTGGAGCATCTATCAGGGTTGACGGTCTTTTCCCAAACTCCCTAAAACAAAATTTTTGCCTCTAATTTGGTTTTTAATGCCGATGAATGAGAAGCGGCTCCGATCATGGCAAACCTCCCCGACAGATTCCCAAATCTTTATGCCCTGGCTGCACTGGAGCATCTACCAGGGTTGATGGTCTTTTCCCAAACTCCCTAAGCCAAAGGGGAGGTGGTGGAGTAAGCGCAGGCTATTTCTTGAGGCCGACGGGGCAGGAAATCCCCGTCCCCCCGAGGCCGCAGTATCCGCCGGGATTCTTGCTGAGGTACTGCTGGTGATAATCCTCGGCATAATAAAACTCGGGAGCCTCCCGGATTTCCGTGGTGATGGGACCGAAGCCTCCCTCCGTCAATACCTGTCAGGAAAGACGATGGAAAGCCATTAGTGGTCTGCTGGCTGCTCTGCTGACGAAATGACATCAGGTTTCCTCCCAGAAGGAGCCACAGGCAGCTCTGGATCCCATTTGCAGCACATCCCTGAAAGCCCTTTATCCCTGCTCTCCTGATGTTTTGCTCAGAGACACTGCAGGCTCCAAAGCAGGCATTGGTGAGGCCCCATCCCCTCTTAATGGCTCATTTGGTTAATTTGCTGTGGCCACACATTTATTCTCTTTATTAACCCTGCCAGGGTCTTTCAACAGGAGTGGAAAACAAATGTGAAAGCAGACCCTGACCCATCCTGGCCGTGCCTTGCAGTGCCCAAAACCCTCACCTGGCAGGTGCCTCAGCTTCAAAATGCGTGATCCACCCCCTATGTCCTCATGCCAAGAAGAATTCCTGGGTGAAATTTTAACCCCACTGGGAAATAAGAGCATTGAGGATTTTTTCACAGAGTTGTTGCATCCCCGTTCTTCAAAAAGACCAGTTCCATCCTGCCCAGAAAGGCAGTTTTAAGGCAAATTATGGCTCATTTCAGAAAGATTTGCCAACACATGGACCAGGAGCAATAATCACTTTGCAGGAAAAGAAGACAGAATGTGGGTGGGGATTTTAAATTTAACTTTAATTTCTTTCTGATCTCTCCTAACTGAGTTTGGAACTCCTGAGAGGTTTCTGACAGAGGGAATTTCTTTTTAAGATGGATTGTTGTGGCATTTTCCCTACTGCATTGTCCTTTTCTAAGGAAAAAGGTAAACACCAACTTTTTGGAGCCAATTCTCATCTCAGTGGGGACATAACTTGTGCTCACTGAAGTCAACACAAACCTAATAAGCACTTTAATTAGTGTCAGGCTCCTGTTGAAAATTATATTTTTAAAGTCCTGGATGTAGATAGAACTGATTGCAATCAGCCAGATTGACAGGAAGATCAACTATAAGCAAGAAGGGTCAGCATTTAGGATTACCAGGAAAATATGTGTTATCATACTAATAAATAAACCAAATATAGGGAAATCATCACATGGAATCACAAAACAGAGTTGGTTATAAATCATCAAGTCCAACTTCTTTCATCATAATAGAATGAATGACAATGCCTTGATCCCAACAAACATTGGTTATGAAAGATCTTTGGAGATGGGGATCCTCCAGTCTCCTGAAGGAGACCATTCCAATATTTGTCACCCAGTTAGAGAGTTTTTCCTAAAGCCTAGCCCAGTTAAACCCACTACTTTAATTTAAACCCACTGTTTTGGTTGTACTCATCATGGATGTGGAAAGGAAATAATTCTCTTCTTCTTTACAATGATCTTCTACATCCTCAGTTGGGGACAGAGAAAGATGACATGTAATGGAAATAATGGAAATAATGCCAGCTGGCAGTTAAATAACAGGACCAAAAAGTCCCAAATTTGGGATCAAAAAGTCTTCAAATTTTCTACAAGTTTTCCTAGATCCTGCCTCAGCACAGCTAAGCCCTGACCACACTCTGACTGCAGCTCCTAGACTTTGTAGAGTATTAGTCTGATTTATTCCCATCATTTCACTGCCTGGAGGATAAATTTTGCTGTATTCAGTTTTCAAAATCTGTGACTGACCTGTCTGGAGAGCCCCTGAGTTCCCAACCCCACATCTAAATTCTCAGCCCAGCTTAGGAAGACTTTGACGAGTTAATTAATTGTGTTTGAACACTGTGGAGGGGGGGGTGGTGGTAACAAGCCCAGTTTCACAGGAATCTGCGCTTATTTCCCCATGTAAAATCACCAAACAGTGTTTTTCATCTCAGGGATACACTTTGTCCCAAGGGAATCAGGTTATTTACCCGTCAGACACGTCAGTGAGGAAGATAAAAAACATGAAGGTTCGTATCACAACACGTCGGCAACGAAGAACTCGAAAGAGGTGTCAACACAACTGCTTTTCTAAAGCACTATTTCACTTACTTTCCAACCTTCCCAGCAAAGAAAAACACTTTTGAAATTATCTTCACTCCAGAAAGATGGCACAAAGTCTGTCATCATGGGCATTAGTCATTCCTTGCTGCTGCAAATCCATGCAAAATTGGTTCTCCCCCTTAACTGAGTCATGAGGACGCTGCTGGAGGGGGAGAGATTTTTCCACTGTGCAAAACAGTATTTGTTACACATTTTTTACCTGGGACTTTTCCATCATTGGCCTCATTTTGTCAGTTAGGGAACCCATTCTGTTCGACAATGTACCACAAGGGGGCATGAACAGCATGTATCCCTTTCGGAATCGCCAACACTCTGTTCAAACACCCAATAAAGCAGAAGCCCAAGACGACTCATTATAGTGCACTTCGGTCATTAGCAAAAGATCTCAGCCCTGTTGTCAGAAGCAGTGGGAACCCCAAGCTCCTACACTCTGCCAAACACCTGGAATGTTTGGATTTTAAAGGGGAAAACACTTTCCTTTTCCTCACTGTGTCGACTGAAGATAAAAACCTCACTGGGAAAGGCGGAGAAGTTCACGATGTGCTGGCTCTGGCAGGTGTAAATCATCCCACCCTGGATTGATATCCTGCCACTGAGGGAGGATTTTATAATTATAAATATAATGTGATGATAATCCTGTTCTAAAAGAATTTTTAGTCTTCACTGTCTCAAAATTCCTGAGCCATCGGACAGGACCTCCCATTACCATGCTGCAATTAACCCTTTTACTTGGTGCAAGAAATTTTTAAGGAGCTATTGGATCATTTCCCTCCCCAGTATTCCCCTTCAATTCAAGGAGAATTCATTCATTCAGAGGATTTTTTGCAGGTTTTGTCATAGGGGAGATCATACAATCACATTTATGTTGGAAAAGCCCTCTAAGATCATTGGTTCAAACTGTTAAGCCAGCACTGCCAAGTGCTGCAAGATCACAGTGATCCTTTAATTTGTTATAATCCACCCCAAAAGCCCTGTCAGGTTCTGACAGTGAGGGGCCAGACAAACCAGAACCCAAAGCTCACCCAGCTGCAGAGGGGACATGGCCAGTTTGGGACACTGGGAGAGGTGCTGGAGCAGGAACACTTTTAAAATCATACAATCATTAAGGTTGGAAAAGACCTCCAAGCTCATTGACATGTCGAAGCCAGTGCTGAGAACTTCAGCACAACTAGTTTTTTAAACAATCTGTACTTTCATCATGTAAAAGATGTTGTGTTTGATGATTTTCTTAATTTATTATAGACTATGAAAGTTTATTTCCTGTTGTTTGCTTTAAACTTCTTGCCTGACCATTGGATGACCAGAGGATATCATCACCATCCTCTGCCAAAAAGATAGAGTCATACACTGGTTTGGGTTGGAAGGGACCTTAAAAGCATCTCATTCCACCCCCTGCCATGGGCAGGGACACCTTCCACTAGCCCAGGTTGCTCCAAGCCCCATCCAACCTGGCCTGGAACACTTCCAGGGACGGGGCAGTCACAGCTTCTCTGGGCAACCTGTGCCACGGCCTCACCACCCTCACCTTAGAATTTTTTCCTAATATCCCACCTAACCCTGCCCTCTGGCAGTGTGAAGCCATTTCCCCTTGTCCTGTAACTCCAGGTCCTTGTAAAAAATTTCTCTCCATCTTTCTTGTTGGCTCCCTTTAGGTACTGGAAGGCCACAATTAAGTCACTCCAAATCCTTTTCTTCTCCAGGCTGAACAATCCCAATTCTCTCGGCCTTTCCTCACAGGAGAGGGGCTCCATCCCTTTGATCATCTTGGTGGCCTCCTCATATAATTCCTTATTCGCTCTCTTGATTTTACACCTTAATCCTGCTCATTCCTGTCTTCAGCCAGATCCACAGGCTTGGTCTACCCATCCCATAACCCAGCTGAGCCTCCTCACCCTTTTCTGCATCCCTTCCACTTCCACTCACCGCTGCTTTCACTGGGATGACTGGAACTACACTCTGCTCAAGAGCAGCACCACGGATTTGTTCAGTGCTGTACTCATATTTTCCTTTTTATTCTCCCTCTCCTTCCCAGTAATTCTTAGCATTCCACTTGCCTTCCTGACCTCTGCTGAGCACGGAGCAGATGTTTTCCAAGAACCATCTGCAGTGACGCCATCACCTCCTTCGCGGGCTAATTTAAACCCTGTCATTGTGCCTGCACTTGACTTTTATCCACATGGAATTTCAGCAGCTATTTGATTGCCCAGACATGTGATGTTATCAGATTCTTTTCCAGCTTTTTTGTAGGCATGTCTAGTTTGCCTTACTTGGAATAACTCTGTACCATCAGCAGGTTTTGGTGCGTCACTATTGTCTGTCTCCCCTTTTTCAGCCCTTTTATGAGGATGTTGAACTGCACAGGTTCCCAAGACAGCTTAATCTCCCTTCACTGCAAAAACTGCACAGTTATTTGTACCTTTTATTTCCTATTTATAGCTAATCCTTGTAAAGTGCCTTGAGAATTTGGAATGAACTATGCCAAGAAAGCACAATTCCCTTGTAACTCCAAATACTTGAAGCCACTGATGCTTTGATATGCTGTGCTGAAAATTCCAGGAAATTTAGAGAAGGGTTGAACCCACTTATAAATTTGACAGAAAAGCTTTAAAATTGGGTTTGCTAAATGAAACCATTTAATTTTCTGAGCAGAGGCATTAGTAAAGCAGCAGAGTATTAATTGGCTTTGAGCATTTTGTGGCTTTTAATAAAAGTGGCATCATCCTGTGTTTGATTCAATACAGACTTTCAAAACAAGTTTACAGCAACATGCATTTTATCTCATGTCCCAGGAAGTTATACAAATCTGCTGTATTTCTAAAATCTCCTCTAAAATCACTGCTGTTGAAAACACTACAGAGCATCTTGACAATGTGACAGCTTCTGCTTCTGTATCCTCACTCATCCCTGATGTCAAACTCTAAGGCACATCTCACTGTGCTGAGGATCTATAGAAAATCTGTAGGGCCTTTATTATAAAGGCTACTGAAAATTTTATACCATCAGCAATACAAAAATTCAGCT